ATGATTATTATTATTATTACTATTATTATTATTATTATTATTATTATTATTATTATTATTATTATTATTATTATTATTATTATTATTATTATTATTATTATTATTATTATTATTATTATTATTATTATTATTATTATTATTATTATTATTATTATTATTATTATTATTATTATTATTATTATTATTATTATTATTATTATTATTATTATTATTATTATTATTATTATTATTATTATTATTATTATTATTATTATTATTATTATTATTATTATTATTATTATTATTATTATTATTATTATTATTATTATTATTATTATTATTATTATTATTATTATTATTATTATTATTATTATTATTATTATTATTATTATTATTATTATTATTATTATTATTATTATTATTATTATTATTATTATTATTATTATTATTATTATTATTATTATTATTATTATTATTATTATTATTATTATTATTATTATTATTATTATTATTATTATTATTATTATTATTATTATTATTATTATTATTATTATTATTATTATTATTATTATTATTATTATTATTATTATTATTATTATTATTATTATTATTATTATTATTATTATTATTATTATTATTATTATTATTATTATTATTATTATTATTATTATTATTATTATTATTATTATTATTATTATTATTATTATTATTATTATTATTATTATTATTATTATTATTATTATTATTATTATTATTATTATTATTATTATTATTATTATTATTATTATTATTATTATTATTATTATTATTATTATTATTATTATTATTATTATTATTATTATTATTATTATTATTATATTAAATTTATTATTATTATTATTATTATTATTATTATTATTATTATTATTATTATTATTATTATTATTATTATTATATTATTATTATTATTATTATTATTATTATTATTATTATTATTATTATTATTATTATTATTATTATTATTATTATTATTATTATTATTATTATTATTATTATTATTATTATTATTATTATTATTATTATTATTATTATTATTATTATTATTATTATTATTATTATTATTATTATTATTATTATTATTATTATTATTATTATTATTATTATTATTATTATTATTATTATTATTATTATTATTATTATTATTATTATTATTATTATTATTATTATTATTATTATTATTATTATTATTATTATATTATTATTATTATTATTATTATTATTATTATTATTATTATTATTATTATTATTATTATTATTATTATTATTATTATTATTATTATTATTATTATTATTATTATTATTATTATTATTATTTATTATTATTATTATTATTATTATTATTATTATTATTATTATTATTATTATTATTATTATTATTATTATTATTATTATTATTATTATTATTATTATTATTATTATTATTATTATTATTATTATTATTATTATTATTATTATTATTATTATTATTATTATTATTATTATTATTATTATTATTTATTATTATTATTATTATTATTATTATTATTATTATTATTATTATTATTATTATTATTATTATTATTATTATTATTATTATTATTATTATTATTATTATTATTATTATTATTATTATTATTATTATTATTATTATTATTATTATTATTATTATTATTATTATTATTATTATTATTATTATTATTATTATTATTATTATTATTATTATTATTATATTATTATTATTATTATTATTATTATTATTATTATTATTATTATTATTATTATTATTATTATTATTATTATTATTATTATTATTATTATTATTATTATTATTATTATTATTATTATTATTATTATTATTATTATTACTATTATTACTATTATTACTATTATTACTATTATTACTATTATTATTATTATTATTATTATTATTATTATTATTATTATTATTATTATTATTATTATTATTATTATTATTATATTATTATTATTATTATTATTATTATTATTATTATTATTATTATTATTATTATTATTATTATTATTACTATTATTACTATTATTACTATTATTACTATTATTACTATTATTATATTATTACTATTATTACTATTATTATTATTATTATTATTATTATTATTATTATTATTATTATTATTATTATTATTATTATTATTATTATTATTATTATTATTATATTATTATTATTATTATTATTATTATTATTATTATTATTATTATTATTATTATTATTATTATTATTATTATTATTATTATTATATTATTATTATTATTATTATTATTATTATTATTATTATTATTATTATTATTATTATTATTATTATTATTATTATTATTATTATTATTATTATTATTATTATTATTATTATTATTATTATTATTATTATTATTATTATTATTATTATTATTATTATTATTATTATTATTATTATTATTATTATTATTATTATTATTATTATTATTATTATTATTATTATTATTATTATTATTATTATTATTATTATTATTATTTATTATTATTATTATTATTATTATTATTATTATTATTATTATTGTTATTATTATTATTATGATTATTATTATGATATTTATTATTATCATGATTATTATTATTCTTACTACTAATATGGTTGTTGTTGTTATTGTTATTAGTTTTGTTTTCGTTATTATCATATTATACGGAGTAATTACAATTAAAATTATAGAAATAAATATTATAATTATAATTAAAATTAAAATTATAATTATAGAAATAAATATAACTATAAATTTAATTACAATTATAATTATAACTATATTTATAACTAGTGTAATACGTATAATAATAATTATACCTATTATAATTATGTTTGTAATTATAATTATAATTTTTATAATTATGATTATAATTATAATTATATTTAAATTATATATGTGTAATTACATTTATAATTATAGTAATTATAATTGTAATTATAATTTTAGAAATATTCAAATCAGATCAGATCAGAAAGATTCAGATCAGATCAGAAGGATTCAGATGAGATCAGAAACATTCAGATCAGATCAGGAACATTCAGATCAGATCAGGAACATTCAGATCAGATCAGGAACCTTCAGATCAGATCAGAAAGATTCAGATCAGAAAGATTCAGATCAGATCAGAAAAATTCAGATCAGATCAGAACTTAAAAAATTCAGATCAGAAACATTCAGATCAGGTGAAGAGAACAACTTCTCAAGTACCAAAAGTGTCACTGACACTATAGTCGAGTGACTGAAAATGGCAAAACACTATCCCTTTCAGGTTTGGTTGCGATGAACTCCTAATTTTATCAAAACATGGGGATGCTTGTGCCGATTTTGTGAGACCTACTCCCCCCCTCTCTAGGGCGTTCCATCGCCACTATAGCCTATTCCTTCGCTATCGGTTTTAATCGAGGAGCGGTTAATTCGAAATGACGATTGCTGAGGGTTCATACGAAGGACAAAGGGCTTGTTAAGAGGATTGCACAGGGATTGCCTTATCCCATTGGGTTATACGCTTCGATTGTGCGAGTTTGTTCCGTGCGAGACATCGAAGGGGCGAGCGGCATGAGATTTAGCATAGGAGAGATGAAGGGAGCTTGGCAGGAGATGGTCGGCCTTGGCCCTTGGGCGCTTCTTAGGCGCAAGACTTCATCTGCGTTGCAATGAGGTGGGACATATGAAGGTTGCTCGGCAGAAAACCAACTGGGCGATGGATAGGAGCAGAGCCTTTTGCGTTAGGGTTTGGAACCGTGTCTTGTTCGTGTTAACAATCATAGCGATGGATCCGATCTCCTCATGAACCCACCGCCAGGTTTTGAACGAGGTGTTAGAGTTCAAGAATTTTATTTTTTCGCTGTGTTGGTTTTTTTATGGTGTTGAGTAATATGTTTATTTTCAATTCTTCATTATTTTTTATTGTAAGACTTTGAGTTTGACTTGGGGATGACAAGAGGTCTGTGTTTTCCGTCCTTGGCTCAGTTGCGTCCATAAATGGATTAACGAGTTATTCTGCTTCTTTTGAGATGGTTAACTATGAGTCTGGTTCGAGAGTTAGCAGTTGCCTGCGGTCTCTTTGGCTATGTTTGGCACAACGAGCTGGAACTGGAGGCTAATGTCTGAAATAGGGGCTATTGTCTGAAACAGAGACTATCGTCTGAAGCTGAACCTTGAAATAAAGAATCTGAATTGCTAGCGGAATGGAATAAATCCGTTCGGCAAAAAAGAGCTGGAAGGATGACTGAAAAATATACAATTACATTAAAGGGCATAAAATATATTACTAAAAATAAATTATTATTATAATGATTTTTATACTTTGATAAATATTTTTATACGAGTGGTATATACAAGTAATTATTTTTATACGAGTTGTATATAAAAGTAATTAATTTTTTAGACGAAATTGCACTTTAACGGGTAGTACCCTATCTAAAAGAAATATTGTAATCATCTCATATTATCATCCTTGATTAGTTGAGCAAAGTAAATAATGCACCAGGAAACATCATTTGGATGGGAGGCTGGATCATCTCCTCCCCTGCACCACCGACTACCCCGCTTTTCTCAGCATGCTTATAACCCATTTGCTCATTCGGATTGCTCATCATCCAATCTACAAACTCCACCTTGTGTTGCTGGGGCTAGAAAACCGGAGGAATTTGCGGCAGGTGGATGGACTGCCACCGAACGGTTCTTGACTTGGGGGTTAATTTAGGGACAGAAGTACATTATTGGATGGGCTGCATAGCAACACTACGCATGAAAACGTTTCCAATAAGTCCATATTTTTCAGCTTCAGCTCAGTTTAGCCTTCTTTCCAAACACGATTACTTTTTAATTTATTAGCTGAACTTGAATAATTCAGAGCCTTTGTCTTTTTTAGCACTTATCTGAATGATGTGATACGGAGTATTAATTTAAACCATCTTTCCTTAAAAAACATGGGTTTATAATATTGGGCCTTTATTTGGGCCATCAAACACGTCTTCTTGAATTTCACCACATTTTGATACCAGCAGTCCAGCATTGCTACTATGGAGAGCTCAGGCGAACCCGACAGCGACCTCTATACCATCCCCAGTTACACCAGTAAGAACCAATATCACAGTCTCTCGCTCTGTAAGTTTGAGCATCTCTATCGGTTTGATTGATCCGTAAAACCTAATTTAATTCATATTTCTTTGATGCAAACTCAGGCTGGTTTTCGTGGAATAGCATTCACGAAGTAGAGAGGCTGTCGCTGAGAGAGTTCTTCGATGGGAGCTCGATCACACGGTCTCCCAGAATATACAAGGAGTACAGGGACTTCATCATATTCAAGTACCGGGAGGATTCGGACCGGAAGCTCACATTCACAGAGGTGCGGAAATCTCTGGTAGGAGACATCTGTGTGCTCCAAAAGGTCTTCACGTTTCTCGAGAAGTGGGGGCTCATCAATTTCGACCCAAGTAAACCAGAGCCAGTTCAAGCTGGGGTAGAAGAGGAGGTGGAAGAGGATGAGAAGTGGAGGGTTAGGGTTGAGGAAGGGGCTCCTTATGGGGTGAGGGTTATTGCCACTCCAAATTCGATTAAGCCCCTTGCTCCTCTGCCGTCCACATTGGCTGTTGCTGCTTTTGGGGCCCATAATGTGGTCAAAATGCCGCCCTTGGCATCTTACTGTGATGTTTATGGTGAGTTACTGGAGCAGCAGAAAGAATGTATGGAGTGTGTCCACTGCAAAGAGCAGTGTGGATCCAGGCATTACAAACATATCGAGGTGCATTCTGGATCTCTTTGCTTTAACTCATATATGAATCATATGATGATGACGATCATGATGAAGATTTACTACTTTTTATGTACTGTATATTTTTGTGATAAAGGTGTTCATTTGTTGAATATGTATTTCAAGGATTAAACAACAAAAACATTCGAGCCTTCTTCCAAAAAGATTTTGGTTCGGCCAACATGGTACCATGATATCAAAGTAAAAAAGAGAAGAAATATAAGAAAAATAAAAATATAAGGTAAAGGGTATGTTTGGCACAACTAACTGAAAATATACTTTTGTAATCTTTTTAATAACGGTTAGCTTTTAGTGATTGAAAAATCTTAAAAAGAAAAGGTGGTAACTGTTTGGTAATAAGCTGACTGTTTGATTTCGATTTGTTTGGTATACAAGCTCTTAGGACAAATTAATATTAAAGGTCACAAACTTTTCTCGGATTTCAAAAAAGATCTTATATTTTGAAAAACTCTTAAAATTTGTCATGCCAAACATACAACTAGAAGCTTTTAGAGACTTTTTAAATAGTACAAAAGCTAAAAGGCAGAGACTTATGTCTGCCAAAATGCACAAAATAAAATGGATAACATAAATATAAATATAAGACAAAAATATGATAAGATCATAAGCAAGGTACTCTCTCGGTCCCGCTTAGATTGTCCCTTCTTTCCTTTTCGGTCTGTTCCACAAAAATTGTTTCAGTCCAAATTTGGTAAAGTTTGTCCGGTTCTAAATCATTCTTACTTTATTCTAATTTTATCAATTTAATATCAACCACATAAACCCATTTTTCTTAATCCATATTAGAAAGAGAGAGAAAGAGGAATAATATTGAATGCAAACGGAATCATCTTAGTTACAACTGTATTGGAATAAAAGTATTTATAGGGTTACTTGAGTCAACAGACTTCACAACTAACCGAGGCACTATCTAGCAGTATATTATATACTATTACAACACAAGGCTTTTAGTCTATTACAAAGGTGTATATCTAATATTCCCCCCTCAAAACTAGGGTGATTGGTTTGAGAACTCAATCACACTAAGTTTTGCTTTTAAATCAAGAAATCTTGAGCTGGAAAGTGTTTTCGTTAGGATGCCAACAATCTGATGAAGAGAGGGAATGCGATAGACTTCCATAGTTATAAAATAACAGAGAGCAGATGTTTAACAGACCAGTTCAGACTAGGTCAGATCAGACCAGACCAACAAGTTTTAGTCCAAAAGAAAAAATCCCACTTCTTGACAACGGCAATGTGAGAGTTTCGTTTAATGTGGTGACTCTTTTTGCATACCAAGCCATTACTCGCCCGACTCACCTCACTTAGAAATTATTTGAGATCATACCATGACTTTCCATTATTTTGTCGTGTTGGGGTGTGGGGCGCCCGAGTTGGTGATTCCACCTTGGGTTGGGGCGAGAGGAAGTGATGCGGTTATTAAGAAAAATAAAATTGTGTGATTGATATTGTAATTAGCAAAGTGTGAATAAAGTAAAAATAGATCGCAACTACCCAAATATTACCAAATGACAAACTTAGTGGGATGGACAAAAAGGGTAAATTGAGAAAAGGTAGGGGAACAGTGGAAGTATTAGATAATATCTCTGGGTTTTTTTTTTTCAGTTTGTGGTGTAGTTCACATTGAAATAAGAGCTCAACGGTAGTCCCATTTTTTCACATACCTCATTTATATGCATATATGTGTGGATGTGTGCTCACAGTCTCACATCGAAATGCTTCAATATGTAAATTTAGAATGATGCTTACTCTCTAAGGTAAGACCAACACATCACATTTACCTAAACCACGAAGTACCACAGATTGAGGGATCTTAAGGTTATCTCTATTAATTGTCTATTTAGCTTAGCTATTTTTTAAGCTTGCTTTGTGACTAGACCTTCATAGAGTTCAGTTCCACCACCACCATCATATACATATTCACATGTAAATCATCTGGGGAAATTAAATGAGATAGCCCAGTCTTATAGGTGTGAGTATAGGCGTGAGCAGATAACAGCACAACCTTTTACTTGTCCACAAGATACCCCAGACTCCGCCATCTAAGTTAACTAGACTACCATTTGTTTGGCAAAGGATTTCAATTTTACTGATCCATAGATTCATATAAGCACATGGTATATCTAGAACAAAATAAGTAAATAATAATCACATATATTTTGTTTTGATGCCGAACATACATGTACGTTTTAGTTCTTATCTTAAGCATCAACACATTTTTCTTGTACCTAATGTTTTACCAATAATATCTTAAATAAATGATATTTGGATGTGCATATTGAATATAGATCTTTTTATTATATCTATAAGACTTGTTTTATTTTACTAAATACTCCCTTCATCCCTTATAACTTTGCTAACTTTCTGTTATTTATTGTCCCAAAAACTTTTTCACGTTTTCTTTTAATCAATCAATTTGTGGCTCATGTTACTTCTCTCTCCTTTGCACAAATCTCTACCACATAGTTTTTACTTTTTACTTTATTATTCTACGCGCCAGCTAAACTTGGCAAACCTTTAAGGGACGGAGGAAGTAGTAAATACTACAGAGTAACTTCTAAATTTAGGTTTATTATAACCATAGTATCATATTCTTAACATAATGCTGTCAATTCAGTAAAATAAAAAAGATTGGAGACCAAGGGTTTTGGTCTGAGTCAAAGCAAGACTGAGTATCTGAAATGCAAGTTTGGTGGAGATAGAAGTAGTAGTAACAATGAGATTACCCTTAATAGCAAGAAGATACTGGTGTGTGATATGTGTCGTTTTTTGGGCTCCATATTTCAGAAAGATGGTGAATTAGATGAAGATGTATTCCATAGATTTAGAAATTGATGGATGAAATGGAAGAATGCATCATATTTCTATGTGATTGAGGTATGTCAACTAGATTGAAGGGTAAAGTTGATCGAACAACAATTAAGCTTCATTAATGTATGACGAACACGCGGTGAAACAATGTCACACTTAAAAGATGAGTGTGGCGGAGATGCATATGTTATGTTGGATGTGTGGACATACCAGAAAAGACTGCTTGAGAAATGCGATAAGCAGACAAAAGGTGGGAGTAACACCTATAGAAGATAAGACACAGGAGTCTCGATTGTGGTAGTTTGGTCATGTGTGTAGAAAACCGAGTGATGCACCTGACAGATGAGTTGAGAGGTGGGGAAAAGAGGCAGAGAGGAGAGGGAGAGAAGAACCCAAACAGAATTGGATTAAAAGAATAAAAATTGATATGCTTCTTCTTGGGTTGGATGAGAGCATGACTTCGGAGTGAGCAAAATGGAGCGCGCATATTCGTGTGTACGATTGGTCTCTTTTCTCTGGCTCTTTTCTTTTATCTTTTATCTTTTTTTCTTTTCTTTTATCTTCTTTATCTTTCTTTGTTCTTATGTTATTTCTATCTTTTATCTTTCTTATGTTCTTTAATCTTTTTATCTTTTTTCTTTTTATGCTCTTATTTTATTTTTATCTAATATTTATCTTTATCTTGCCTTGTCTTTTTATTTTCTTATTTTTCTTCCCTTTTTAGCCTTGATATCAGATCGATTCATGTTAGCTGATCCCAAAATCTTATGGGAATAAGGCTTGGATGTTGTTGTTGTAGTAAAATAAAAACGATAGCAGAATTGTTGCTTTGTTTAACCATCTATACATGAATTCATGCAAATCATGTCCTTTACTTGCTTTAATGTGTTCATGTATCATAGTCTTGTAATAGGACAGGGGGTGTATTAGTTAATTTTTTACCTAACTAATGATAGTTTGTTAACATATTACATATTTGGCAAAGTTTGATTTTTTTTTTTAAACTATAGATTGCGGGTTTTGTTATTGTTATCTTATACTCCCTCCGTTCTTTTTTAGTTGCAACACTTTCCTTTTTGGGTAGTTTCAAAGTAATTGCAACACATCTATTTTAGGATATAAAAGTGAGTTGAATTGTCTTTACTACCCTTAATTAATTCACTATCAGCTAGACAGCCACCCCTCTCCAATTTCATCGGTTTCTGTATCCACCCACCCGGCCACCCCTACCTTCTTCAACCTCAACACATCTTTCAACCTCAAATTTCCCCGTACCTTTCTTCAACCTGAAATCCTCTTCCTTCTCTACAGATCTGGCTTTTAAGAAAACTCAATTGGATTTCATGGATTTCATGTAGTCACCCGATTTCTTTTCAGACTAGGATATTTTGCTATATTTGACGAATCCTTAGTGAAACCCGGCAGTCTTACCTTAAAATATGTTTCCATGCTAAGTTTGTCTGCGACCTCTTCTATGAGATTGGGAAGAGTACCTTCCGCCAGTCAAACGTAACCCAAACGGGCCTTCCCAGATTTCATCTCCCACAACCCCATTTGATTTTATGATTTGTGGGATTTAATTCTTCAGACTGCCGTTGAGGTTGCGAGGTCGAAGATGAACGTCGACAGGGAATCTGTGATGGCCGATGGGTATGGAGACAAAGCTGCACTTTTCTACCATTCTACCAATAGTTGTGCTTTTCTAGACCATATGAGGGCACGAAAGGTTTTTTCCTTATTGTATAAGGGTACAAAGGGAAATCAATTATTTTTTCCATGCTTCTTAATTTGTGTGCCATGATGCTATGTTGCATCTAAATAAAAACGGAGGATAGTATTTATCATGGATCGATTCATTTTAGCCGACTCCAAATTCTTTTGGGATTAAGGTTGGGATGTTGTTGTTGTATAGGTCGCGGTGTTATCTGCTCACCACAGGACATAAATCAAAGTGTGAGCTATTAGATTTTAATTTTCTAAAACACAGTTCATAACTATTCATATCAAATAGGAATTGCATATTTTGCTCTTATAATGAACTCTAAACTCTTATAATCCTCACCATCACTGAAATCATGATGAATAGGACAAAGTGGTTGTAAAAACAATTTTATTTCATTTGAAAAAGCAATTATAATTTTCTTACTTTAGTCCTTTTCTCGGTTCAGGAAGGGAGCTTTATGTTATGTGAAAATTGCTTCAATGATGGTAAGTTTGATAAGGATAAATCTGGGGATGATTTCAAGTTTGTTGAAAGTGGGAATCATCAGGTTGTCTGGACTGAAGAAGAAACTTTACTCCTATTTGAGTCCATTCTCAAGCATGGAGACGACTGGGATCTTGTTGCTGAAAACGTGAAAACAAAGACCAAACTTGAATGCATCTCAAAGCTTATAGAACTGCCGCTTGGTGATCTTATGCTGGGTTCTGACAACAAGAAGAATAAACTTATGGATTCAAATGCCAATGTGAATGGTTTTGAACTGGTGCATCCAGCTTCAAGTGAGCCCCAAGTAACTATGGGAACAGGGCTTCAACCCAATGACAGTAAGGTGTCTTCAACTTATTTTCGAAGCTAATTACTTATCCTAATTTTATTCAGACAAGAATAAATCTGAAACATTGAGATGAGAATGTTTTATTTTTAACAAAAAAAGTAGACAAGTTGAGAAACATTTATATCAGACCAGACTAGAGTACTAGACACATCCAGACCTTGACTAAACTTAAAAAATTTAAACTACACCACACTTTTTCAGGCGAAGAGAACAGAACCTCAGAATGAGCCACATAGTGGAGACTATGTAAACCAAGGACAACCTATGAAGAAAAGATGCAGTCTGCCAACGATTTCAGGACCTAGATGTTCATTAATCGAGCAGGTAAACTAGCTCCACTGTTATGTTTTGCTATCTTTGTATGTCATGTTCAAAATTGTGAAATCATCGTTTTTCAATATTATATCTTTTGTTTTGGTCTATCGTATGGTCTGTTGTCTCTGTATAAAACAACTAATACACTTAAGATTATCTAGAGGAAATAAATGTGACATTCCACCCTCATGATCTAGTGGGAATTTTATAGGGAAAGCTTATGATACATTTTCACAAATCTCTCATGAACACACACAAGCATAGAGTAAAGAGCATGATTTTTTCTTGAAGGGGTTTAAGAGCCTGTTTGGTAAGGATTATTTGTCTGTTTTGGCTGGACCAACTGATTTTCTGCAAGGGTCATTTGGTAAAATCAATTTCAGCCAAATAAGCATGTCAAAAGCCTACTTATTCTGCTTAGTAAGCAGATAAAGGCACATTTTGATACCAAGCGGCTCTTAGTGTATAGACTATGATGAGGTGCATTTCTGGAATACATGTTTTTTAAAATGCTAGTTTGAATGCTTATATTCCACCATCAGAATTCTTCTATACCTATTTGCTGCTGTTGACTGATGAAAATTACTCTTAGGTAGCCCACATCTCTACTGTTGTTGGTCCATGGGTTGCCTCATCTGCAACAGAGGCTGCTATTACAACACTTTGCTATGAAAACCAGTGTTCCAGGGAGATATTCAATGATATTGAAAGTCTTGATGATAAATTGAGATCTGACCTTGTAAATAGTGAAAACGAAAGGTGATTTATCCAACTTTATACTCTTAATGATGCTCATAACTTGAATATGAATTATACTTGTGTGGATGATATCAGGCTCTACTTGTATAATATTTTATTTCTTTATTTTGTGATTTTTAATTTTAATTGGGAGGCATAAGGATGTTTTTACTTGGACTGTAATTTGTCCCAGACCAGACCAGACCAGACCAGTCCAGACCAGACCAGACCAGTTCAGACCAGACCAGACCAGACCAGACTTGGATAGTTATAAAAGTACAAAGAAACCAGACCTTACCAGACCAGACCAGACCAGTTCAGACCAGACCAGACCAGATCAGACCAGACCAGACCAGACCAGCAAATTACAGTCCAAGTAAAAACATCCTAAGACTTCTATGTGTGGATCGTCATTGAATTTTCCTTTTAATCTTAAAGTGCGCCTATTATTATCTATTGATGTCTGTCAGACATTGGGGATGGTTTGAAAATCAAATTGATATATCTCAGTTAAGTTGAATAAATTGCTTTGCATTTTTTGATAAGTTAATATTTTCATCAAAGTTGAGATCCACTGCCCTCTTCTTCCTCAACATGGCGAACAGTGTGAGCTTGCAGTGGCATGTCTACTGTTTTCTTTAGGTTATAATCTGTTTTCTGTAACCAAAACTTAGCTCAGCTTCATTCGCTGAATGACTTACAATTGTAGTCAGTATGAGAACTGGCATATAAGGTGACTATATTAAATGGATGTAATTACAGAATCACTGATTTCCCTGTTTTGCCTCTCTTGTTATCTGATTTTCACATATCGGCTAATGGTTTGATTCAAATGTTTTTCTTTTACAAGCTAAATAATATGGCTTTTAATGTTTTCAGTTTGAATGTAGGAGTTGCATAGCTCTAGGCACTACTTGTAATGTGTTCTTTATTTTTATCTGTCTTGCTCTTTTGGAGAAAACTGGGCACCAGGCTCGTGTTGCGTGTCATTGTTATAACATTTCCAGGGACTTGCCTGTGGTAGTTAACTAATGGTGGTGCTACTTTGTTTGGACATTTGTACTGAGAAACATATACTTATATCTTAGGGATCATCAAGCAGAAGGGGCTGAGACTGGCAAAACAAGTTCAGGTATTTATTCATAGTCAAGAAAATGGCTGTTGTTTCAATCTCTATAAATTTTTCATGTGGAGTCACATAAGTTAATGTCACCTTGCTAATTTTTCAAGCTGCAATGCAATGGAGAGAACTCAAACTTGGGCATTTGATTTTATTATGCATGTACATAAGAAAATGCTACAAGTATAAACAAAAATACAAACAAATGATGTCGTTCATAAAATCACCATTGGTGTAAGGGAAAAATAATTTAAATATCCTAATCTTTGAAGGGGTGTGAGATAAGCATCTCAAACTTGCACATGTAATATATATACCCCAAACTTTATATAAAATGCTATATTAGCACCATGATCATATATTTTTTCACAAATATAATTGTATGGTATTAAGTACATAATTTAAAATAGACAAAACATTTATGAGGATGCAATTAAAATTAAATTGTACCGGATGTAATATTATTTATTTCACAAATAAAATTTTAGAATGTTAAATGCATTCTAACAAAGCTTAGAGTATTTTAAGTTATGTAATTATTCCAATAAATTTGTATTTGTAAAAAAACATATGATCATGGTGCGAAAATAACTTTTTATATAAAGTTCGTGGTATATATATAACATATTCAAGTTTGGGGTACTAATTTCACACTCCATTGAAGTATGAGGCATTTCAATTATTTTCCCCTTGATTTAAAGGTGATCATCATCATTACCCCAGTGCTGCAAAGGCTCCCACCTACGGTGAGGTAAGGGGGGTTAGATATATGCAACTTTACCCCTGCACTTAAGCGCATAGAGACTGTTTCCAAATAACCCATAGTGAAAATCACGTCGAAAATTGCATGGACCGACGACTCTTTCATAACAAAGAAGCACACACAGTTTAGTGAGCCATTTTGCTTTATTCCATAATATTCCCAAGTATGATGCTACTACGTGTCCATCTTGTTACACTTTTTGTAAGTGTGTTTGGTCTTGTAGCATAACTCATATACATATAGGCTGCAGTTCCGGTGACAATGACACTTCTCTCTTTTAAGTAGTGCAGTTCTCTAAGTGATTAAATCTTTTCAATTTATTTACATAGTGCCACCATGTTTTTACTAGTTTTTATTGCATTTTACTATTGTTAGAGCCTTTAGTTATCGAATGCCATGCGCCATATTCATTCTCATTTCTTTTTCGAGACCTCATCTTTGTTTCCAGATATAGACAACTGGCATTCGCCATATTCATTCTCATTTCTTTTTCGAGACCTCATCTTTGTTTCCAGATATAGACAACGATAAAAGCTGCTCTCAGAAGAAGAGTACTACTATACCTCTGATGCTACAGATGAGGGCTGCAACCGCTACTGCACTTGGTGGAGTTGCTGCCCACTCAAAGTTATTGGCTGACCAAGAAGAGAGAGAAATGGGATATTTAGTATCAACTTTAATTAATACCCAGGTTAGCAGTCTCACTCATAATGGGATGGTGGTTGGCAGTTTCCATTATTCCTTGCGTTTTTGTTTAGGTCAGTGTGGCAGCTAGGATTTGGAGAGTCTAGGGTGTGGCGGATTTAGATGTTGTAGTTATATATTGATGAATATAAATTTTCTAAAAACAAATAAAAGATGATTGAAATGTTATAGTCATATCTCATATATATTATGCTAATCGTTCAACTTTTATATTATCTAAAAAAAAATATCAAGATGTAGACCTAGTAGTTAAATTGTTACCCAGTTAAAGGTAGGGAGTGATTTGAACTGACTAACCAGGAGTACTCGGTGATTGCTCATTGTGTATTCTACAAGTTTTTAAATACATTTTCGAATTGCATACATATATATAAGGAAAACACAATAATCCACAATACGGCCAATACCATATAATCACTCCTAACTTCATCCTAAGATAATTATCACTTGATTCGAGATTAACATCATAGGAACTGCCCTAAATAGGAGTAAAAACAATGTGAAATTCCAAAATAGGAGTACTGTGCTTTTCTTCCATAAATTCGAGCAATTACAGTCATGCTTTTAAAGTTCTGTTAATTATGACAGTAATACCATCATATTAATGTCCGTTAATGCCAAAATATGGTAGTATGATTTCAGGACAGCATTAATACTCATATTTGAAGGAAAACAACCTAATAATCCTATTTTAGAATTTCACCTTGTTTGTACTCCTATATTGAGAAATTTCACTTGACATTATCTTCATCTTTCACCTTGTTCGCAAGCACATCTTGAGTTAAAAGTGATACAACCTTGAAAAGATATCTTGACAAACTGAAGTCCGTAAATTCGTTTTTAATCTCATAATGACCTGATTTTTATTTTCAACCCTACTCATTTGACTACTACTGAGTTCCTCTCCAATTAAATAAATAAAGATCAAGCTTTTTAAAGCTTTCCCTTTCAATTACTTCCATCCAAAGAGAACCATAGGGTCACCTTGGATGGAGAGTTAAAAATTTAAGATTACATCTTGATAAAGAAAGTGTATGAAATATGAACAAAAAGTGACTGAAATGCTATACGAATTCAGTATATATTTTGTTCTAATATCTTAAATTTTCCCTTATTAATTACCCACATTAAGTACTTTTGTGCCTTGGAAACAAATAAGATGCATTTATATTTAGTTTTTATGGGAGTAGAAATGTCATTATAAATGTTCCTTACTCTGCATATACATTTCTAAAATGTCAATTCATTTGGGATGGAGTGTATGTGTGTGCGTGTAATGTGTATACATGATGGATGTATGCCAATTCATTATGGGGTACCTCAAAATGAACTACCTCCATCCCGACTTTAGCTTCTCATTAAAAAATGACACAGTTATTTAGACAATAATTAAATAAGGTTAGTTCAGTATATTTTGAGAAATAGGTTTGATGAGTATATAATCTAATAAGGTCATTGAGGATAACTTTAAATCTTTAATGTTATATATGTGCATTATTTTTAATATTTGATGATTAAGTTGGCATTTAATCGTGTTAATTAAGCGTGTTAATTATTTCCCAAAATAGAAATAAGAACCTTTAGTTGGGAGTCACTTGGGACGGATTCAAAAGAGGCAAGTGAGAAGCTTAGATCTGGGACAGAAAGAGTAACGAGTAAAAAAGGCTTAATCTCAATCATTAGATTCAAGTCCCAGTGATTATGATCATTTTAGAGTTTTATTCAAAACATGTACTAATATACGAAGTAGGTACTTATTTAATAAGAAGTATTTGCTAATAAAAAAGTACCTTTTCTTGGGAATGTACGCCTATCTCAGCCCCTTCCATAATGCAAATCCTTGGTCAAGCCTCCTCCTATATATGCTCCGTACAAGTTAACATTGTACATTAAAAAAGTTCTGAAAAAACTTAGTTAATATAACCTTTTTGTTTTTGGTTGTTATAGTAATTTATGTGGAAGATAAAAAATTATCCTTGAATTGATGCTTCGCACTTTCATCTGGAACAACTAAACACAAAAATCGTAAAGTTAAAACATATATGCCCTTATGCTTAAATAGTTGCGAATACATATGTTCTTTGATATATAGTTAAGGGGTATATATATCCTCACATACATAATTTAAGGGTTTATTTGTTCCAACTTTACAGTTTTTGTGTTTTTTGTGTTTAATAGTTCCAAAAGAAAAGTTTAAGTGTATATTTTGTTCTTTGACATATAGTTGAAGGGTATTTTTGTTCTTTCTCCTTACTTTTAATTTTTATTATTACATTACTTGTGATTTCACCACAAATATTGTAGTCTCCATTAATCCTCAAGGATGGTCAATTTAATCATTTATCTAGTGATCTGTAAATCTCAAAGGGACAAGAAGGTAACTATTCTGAAACATTAAGCGTGTAACTGATTATTTGCCAAGCCTCAGGAAAGTCATGGATATGTTCCCCTATTATTTACTTTAGTTTGATGTATACTAAAGTTGTAACACATATCCTCATATAGACAAACCCATTAAAAACCAATCTAGTCAAATTCTTTTTAATAATAATCAGCAAAAATTCTCACATCATTTTTTATTCGTTATTCCAATTTGTCATTATTTTACCATTTTGCATTTTGATGGTTATTATGGTTACTATTTTAGCTTAAGAAGTTGGAATGCAAAATTAAACACATGGAAGAGCTTAAGATGATAATGGAAAATAAGCAAACGGAAATGAAGGAAGTGGAGTCAGACCTAATCAACGAACGAATTGAGGCCTTGCAAAGAATGTTTAGTAATGGGACTGCGCCGGCCAAGCCCAGAGTTGACGTGTCTACCACAAATATGGTGCTGAACTCCCAGCAGTCAGAATAGAGCAATGCTGCTGTACTGCTTAGTGTTTATTTTCCTTACTAGGTGTTTTTGAAAAACAAAGCGAGTTATTTAGTAAAATATTCCTGATAATCATACTTTCTACTACATAGAAAACCATTTATGTTCCATTTGAATATGTTATTTAATATTTACCACAACAATGACGTTTTAAAAAGCTCGATTACAATGTAGTTAGCTCAGCTTCTGAAACATTTAGAGTCATGTTTGGTGACCCTAAAAGTTGATTTGAGGGAAAACTATCAAATGAGTCCACCTACTATTTTGAAAAAGTCAATTGAATCCACATACTATTTATTCAATCAATTAAGTCCACCAAGTATCAAAAAATGACCAAATTTGTTTTTTCTCTGGTAATTGACCGGTTTCCTCTATTAATTAGCCTACGTGGATCATTCACGTGGCATTTTCCAAGCGCTTATCTGGCTGTCCATGTGGCATTAGAATGTTTTTTTTTCCTTTTTTATTAAATGTTTTCTTCTTCTTCATTCTCCCCATCCCTGCAACTCTTCTCTCCCTTTTCTTCTTTCCGTTTTTTGATTTTGTCTGTTTTCTTTCTTTATTCTCTTCTCTTTTTTCTTCCTTCTTCCTCCTCTAGCTTTCCATCTTCTACCACTGTCGATCTCTACCGCCACCATCTCTGTCAATCTCTGCCGCCGCCGTTGACCTCTGCCGCCTCCGTCGCCTTCTCTGTCACCGCCTGGTTTCCATTGACTGATTGAAGAAGATGAAGGGTCGCCATCGGATTGCCACAGTCACCTTCTCTGGACATGAAAAAGGGAGTATAGAAGGTTGGATAAGGTAGAGGAAGAAGAGTGGAGAAGAAGAGAAAGAAGATGGGGAAAAAGAATGAAAAGGGAAACAAAAAGGAGGTGAACTGGGCAAGAATTAAGGGAGGGGGGATGCATGAGGTTGTGGGGTAAAAGCAGTGGGAGAGAAGAAGAAGAGGAGAGAGAAGGAGTTGCAGGGAGAAGAAGCAAAAGGAGAAATTGAAAAAAAAAAGATGAAGAAGAGGGGGGAATTGCAGGGGTGGATGAAGAAGGGGGCACGACCAGAGGAAAGAAATGGAGAAGAAGTAATTAAGAAAGGGGAAAAAGAAACACAAAAGCAAAAATAAGGGGAAAAGGGGAAAATGGAAAGGAAAAACAGTACAAATTTTGTAAGTGGAACCCAAGTCAGCAACATAAAGGGCTACCAGTTCTTTACCGGTTAAATGGCAAAATTGACTAAAATTTAAACTTTGTGTACTTAATTGATTGAATAAATAGTATATGGGCTCAATTGACTTTTTTGAAATAGTAGGTAGACTGATTTGACAGTTTTCCCTTGATTTTATTGATTGCTAAAATTAATACACTGAATTTGCCAAATTGTATAATATTCCGTATATGTATTTAACATATACTACGTATTTTACAAAGAAAATAAAGTAAAAACTTATAGTTAAAATTTTCCTATTCAGCAAATTTATTTAAGAAGTATTTTCAACTTCACTTATATTTATTATGAAGCATCAAACAATTTAGTGCACAAAATCAATAATTTAGAACTTCATCTTTTTGACAGAATTTAGATGGCAAAGAAAATTTCAAAAAATAAGTGGGCCTAGGTGATGCTGTGATGGGCCTTTCTCGGAGCTGTCAGAGGCAAATTATTACGTAGGTACACCCAGTTGTACCACATGCATGGTACAACTGAGTTATCTACTTGGCAAGTGTTCGGTGGGTACTCGCAACTCAGGTATTAGTGTTGTCGAGTAGCTATCTTACTCGGTCCGAAGTTAATTTTCGAGTTACTCGTGGAGTACCTGATGAGCTTTTCAACTTGGTGAAGTTTTCAACTCGGCGAGTTACTCAGTCTTACACGGTCCCTTATAAAATTGAAAATCTAACAAAATATAAGTTCAAAAGAGTTTTACACACCGACTATCCTTCAAGAGCTATAAGCCTACGACCACGATCTCTCAATAAGTTCTCATTTTCTATCTCGTACCTTCCCCTCTCACCTAGTGGTGGACCCGGTCCGACCAGCCTGGGAACCAGCCCGGCCCAGGAAACCGATTCCGGTTCCAGGCCTAGGCCCGGGGGGTAGGGGGCGGTTCCGATGCAAGGAAAAGGTAAACCGGCCCCGTCGATTCGGGTCCGGTTCGGGCCTCTCTTTTTTTTCTTTTTCTTTTTTGGTTTGGACTGGGTTTAGGTGGGCTGGGAAGGGGTGATTCCAAGGGATTTGGGGGGGTGGGCGGGGGGGATGGGGGGTAGGGGTTGAAATAAGTAATAAAACACAAAAAGAAATTAACCGGAACCGGCCCGGCCCGGAACCGATACCCTACCGGGCCGGTTCCGGTCCCTACCCTAAACCTTCCAGGCCCGAACCGGAACCAGACCGGTCCCGGTCCACAACTACTCTCACCACTCTCATTTCTTCTTCTCCTCCCTCCTGTCCTACACTAGTTGCTTTTATCCGTGTTTTTAAAATATCACCATCTTGATTGTTTAATATTAATTCACACATATTTGTTGATACAAATAAATTTTTTTCACCTGTATGGCTATATATATATATACACACTAAACTCTATATATATATTGATTCACACACACACACACACACACACACTAAACTCTCTCCGCCCCCTGTAATTGTCTCATTTTACCATTTTTGGATGTCCCCCTATTATTTTCGCATACCATATATGATAACATTTGTGTGGCTCTAATTCATTCTTACTTTATTCCCACTTTATCAACTCATTAATCACATAATATACTTTTTTTTAAAATCGCAGGACTCCCTTCCGTCCCAATATTAGGGGGACAGAGGAAGTACTACACAACTTTTAATTAATATCACTATATTGATTGCTTATTATGTCATATCATGATCGATACACACTCACACTCACATCCTAATTGGTTGACATAAACTCTTCCCAGCCAGCTGAGGATTCTAATGGTGCTGAATTTGCTAATACTACACTCAAGAGAAAATTAAATGATATAGGAATATAGGAATATAGGATGAACATGGAGAGAACATAGATGCAACCAAAGTATTATATGATGATTGATTTTTTTGAAAACTTAGAATGTTTATGACTTCTGCTACTCCACATGCTACTTCAATTGGCAGTATCATGTATATTATGGTGTGCACGAGGCCAGACATTGCACATGTAGTGGGAGTAGTGAGCACATTCATGGGAGATCCAGGAAAACAACATTGAAAAGCTGTGAATTGGATCTTGATGTATTTGAAAGGTACTGTTTCTAATGCCTTGTGTTTTGATGGAAAGAGTGTAGAGCTGCTGGGACATGTTGATGCAGACCTTAAATCAAATGACTCGGATGGATCGAGGAGCACCACCGGGTATGTTTTTACATTTGGTGGAACGGCAGTTTCTTGGCTTTCGCAACTGCACAAGATTGTTGCATTATCTACTACAGAAGCAGAATATGTGGCTATAACCGAGGCAAGCAAGGAGATGGTGTGGCTTCAGAATCTACTTGAAGAACTTGGAAAGGAGTACAAGAATAGCATACTTTACAGTGACAGTCAAAGTGCTCTCTTCTTGGCAAACAACTCAGCATTTCACAAGAGAACCAAAATTGATCCAAAATTTTGGCAAACAACTCTGCTTTGGGGTTAAGTTTTACTCTATAAATACAAGCTCTCTCTTGTAATCAGTTGATCCAAAATTAATAGCAATTCCTGGCTTGGTAGCACCCCCAGACGTAGTCCTTTGTGGTGAACTGGGTTACCAAATTTCGTGTGTTCTTTATTACTGTTGTTCGTGTTGCGTTAATTAATTCTTCATAGTTCACGGGTGATAACTGATTCCTTTTCTCTTCCAATTTGATCTTTTCATCCTCCCAAGACAAATTAAACGTCCTAACCCATTGCTCCTGATTTTCTCGTTTCCTCCTGATTTTCTCATTTGCTCCTGATTTTCGCGTTTCCGTGCAACATAGGGTAGCATCTATCGAAAATCGAAGCAATGACCTGGATCCACAGGTGTGGGTTAGGAAATGAAAGCTCTAACTGGATCCAAATAGACCGGTTCCGCCGGACTTGAATCGGTTCTGTCGGGTCTCGACTAGTTCTAATCGGATTTTGTCCGATTCTGTTGGGTCTTGACCTTTTCCGGTTTCTGACATGTACCGGACCGGTAATTTACTTGGGTTAGTGGGTTCCACGTCATTTCACTTTATTTTACTCAAATCTCAATCACATTTTTTCTTTTGCAGTCACTTCATTAATATTTGTGTCAAACTAAAACATTACATTCAACATAGGATGAGGTATACAGTATACTACAAAGTACAAAGTGAAGTTTTTCAATCTCTAAGTTAAACATAATAATTTTAGATTTTATTTTTCATTCTTGATGTAAAAAAGATGTCAAACTATATTCTATTTTTTCATTTATATAAATGACATGGCTAATATTGATGGTTTTTATCTAAATTATTTTGCTTCACAATTTTGATTTATTTTTATTTTTTACTTTATACAACACAAGGGCATGAAGGGAAATATTCTAAAGTAAATATTGTCACACCTCGATTTGACTAAGAAACATAATGATTTACTATTTAAAATACTCAGATAATAGTTATTCATAAAAAAGTTATTCCATCCATAATACTTGTTTTATTTTTCTTTTTGGATTATAACAAAATAAGTGTCACATTTATTTTTTTTTTGGAAAAATATGCGGTCCATATCATTTTATTTTATGATACTCAAATTGTAATCATAACTTTTAATTTTTCAAACTCTTTGCATGATGGAGTTATAAGACTAGACTCAGAGCCTAATCGGTCCAAGTCCTGAGCTTGGACCCTTGAGTCCAAGCCCATGATTTGAGCCAGCAAGCCCAAGCCCAAGCCCGGGGCCTGCCTGCTAGTTTGACCGACCTACCTGCCAGTAAGAGTAACAATCAAGTAATTAATGCATTACTTAATTATATATTTAATCTTGTATTAATGTAAAATTAATTAGTCATTATTATTGATAGCGATTACGATTTGTATATGTTTGTAAAAGCAGAATGTAATTCAAATTAAGGTAGTGATTCATGAAAGCTATTTTCTGACAACTAAACCTCCTTAGCTGCTTTCCTTTTTCGTATTACTTTCTTGATTATTGCTTGAGCGTTATTGTAGCTTTCCCGAAAAGCCTATGATCATCCATTTTTGGAGCAACACTCTTCATTAATAGTTTTGTCAAATCAAAACGCTTTGTTAATAATTTTGTCAAACTAAAACAAAACATATAAAATGGAAATGTCTATTAATTAAGCACGGGTATGGGTGTACATTAGTCGGACGGGACCGTATTTTTGACCCGAACCGGACCGGAATGGACCGGTATAAATAGGTCTAGGTTTCGGTACTTAGAATTTTACGATTCTAAGTTTCCGTTCCGGTCCGAGTCAAACTCGGAAATATCGGCCCGGACCGGTGGCCCATTAACTTATTGCTCCGTAAAATATATGCTTTAGTGAGTTCCGTCCGTATCGTTGGTTAAATACATACATACTCCCTCCGTCCCTTATAACTTTGCCAACTTTCCTTTTTTGGATATCTCAATAACTTTGTCACTTTCTCTTTTAAGTAAAGAATTTGTGGTTCCAGTTAATTCTCTCATCTGTACAAACTTCAACCACACAGTTTTTACTTTATTAATTCCCGTGTCGGTCAAACTTGGCAAAGTATTGAGGGACGGATGGAGTAGTAAATTAGAGAGTTGGTGCACTACGGTTTGTTATTTACAGGACTTGATTTTCATAAATTCTTTTGCTATCATTGAAACAAAAATCTAGATTGATGTCTATGCAATAGAAAGTCATTCGTATCTGATTATTTACCAGGCTAGTTTCAATTTGTTTCGCTATGGATGTAGTGGTGTTTATATATTTGTTTGATTTTCCCTAGGTGCAGGTGTCTGGATGTGGTTTATACAAGCAAATTAAAAGCAACTTGTGTGCGTAAGGTCTCTAGATGTGATTTATACATTTTATTTGAAGATTGCAGGTGTGTCTTGGTCTATGGATTATAGTCTATTTAGCATATTTGCGCATCAAAGTATAGTCTACAACACAATCTAAGATAATATGCATTTTTTTTAAAAAACGGGTCAATTAGGGTTAAAACCGAATTGGACCTGAAAATTCAGGTCAGTGTCATCAGTCTGGAAAGGTTAATATTAGGTCCGATCTTTGGTCCTTATAAAATTAAGATTCCGGTTCCGATCCTAACACGTCCGGTCCTGACATTTTATGGGCCCGGGACAATGCAAACAGGCTGGGCCTTAGGGATAGCACGGGAATGTTTATAATGTCCTTTTGCTATGAAAATCTACTAGTATAATTTAAAATTGTACAATATTACCGTCAAAGTACTAGTATAACACATCAAAAAACCAACAAAGCACATGGTTAGAAAATATATATATATATATATATATATATATATATATATATATATATAGGGTATTGATAAGTGACATTCGATGATACAATGTACCTAACAGCCAAGTGAAACAAGTATTGCAACTATATATTAGACACAATAAAATTTTTGAATTAAAGAAAGTTGTGAAAGCTATATCTTGTATAAGGAGTAACTTTTTCATATTTTAAATCACATATTCACTAGACAAAAACAAATTCTAAGTTTCTAAATTATGGACACTAAAGTTCAATCTTTCACTAAGGAGAGAATTGAAGGAAATTTGTGAAATACATCAATGAATTCTGGATATACATAAGGCATGTACACTAAGTCATTAAAAGATTAAATTTAATGTAATAATCCGTAATGATTCAAAAGAAATGGTGAAATATGTTCCCAACGAATTCTAATATGGATGTTTCTAAATTATAGACCTGTATCGTGTAGATGGTAAATAACAAATTAGAAGTATCTAAAAATATAAGTTTGATTTCATTTTTTATTTTTTTATAGATTTAGGATGTATATATAATTAAAATATTTATGTACACATATATGTTTGAGAAATTTATGGGCCGTACTGGAGCAAAGGGTTCTGGGCTCATGCCCCTCCTGCCCATGGCTCAGGACCGGCCCTGGATCCTAATCAGTTCCGGTCCGGTTTTAGAGTTGTGCACACACTAAGTACGGGTCCTCTACCGGTTGGAACTTAGGTAACCAAAACAAACAAGAAGCGGAAAGTTTTCTCCCTCGCATCCTGTTCGAATTTAAAAAAAATACGGAGTATTCCGTAACAGGCAATCAGGCATACCATCCCCCGATCTCTCTCTGTCCTCTCTAAATTCTCTTCTAGCCAAATCAAAAGCTTAGCTATATCGAGGGTTTCTATTGTTCCCGTACATCCGAATTCGCTTGCTATGGTCTGGTTTTGGCCTGTTATCGGAGGAGGACGAGATAACTGCCTACCTCTCGTAACCGCTATCAGGATACTCATTGCGGCGGCGCTCTCGGCAACGATGAGCTGTTTCTTCAGCTGCTTTCGGGTTGCCAGTAGAGACGATTCTCCTACGCCTGATGGATCCCACTATCCATCCATCTCCAGTCATGCAAGTTCATTTCATTTTCTCTGTTTCTGAATATTGTTTTTCTTTGCCTTCTTCAAGAAAATTCGGATCAGTTACAGTTGTCAAACAAATGATCTAGTTTTCAACTGATTCTACTCTCGTTGAGGAGTGCAAATCATGCGGGTATTAGAATATCTTTTTGATTTTCCTTGTTCTTGCTCGTTCCATCAGGAAGCTGCGGTGCCATGCAATTGGAGTCAGTTTTCTTCATTATTCATCTTTGATGGTAACCCTCTCTGCCTTTTTCTATGTCTGAGTGATCGGAGTAAAATAATGCACTTAGGAGATCCAATGCTTTTTGAAAATTAATGATTTAAGGAAATTTGATAGCGTGTACCTTTGAATGTCTACTTAGAGAAAGAAAATCAGCATGGGGTGGAGGCCAGGGAAAAGGTGAAACATGACAAAGTGATTCCTGCGCATGACCTGGACATTACAGAGCTCAAGGATCAGGTTCTTACCCCGAAAATGTGTAGCTACTTTTGATGATGCAGTTTAGTTAAATATCACGATTTGCTTCTATTGGTAACTTCACAAAGCTTCTTTGTGGGATTGAGCTGCAAATTTTCTTCTTAATTGAACATTGTTTTATCTTCATTCCCATGTCATCTCATGATATGGTTCCTTCTCTGGGAAGCCGGTTGATGTAATTCATTATTCCTATGTTCTAATGTAATGATTTCATTACTCGTTTGCTGTGGGGCTCTTAGTAAATTAAATATGCAGCACAAAGCAGGTAACATGTGCTTGAGTATGTTAGTGTCTAAACTAATCTGAACCAAGAAGGGCTCATTATTAAACACATAACAGTAAACACACATATATGAGCATTGAGCAAATCTCTTGAATTTACTTGAGTGAAAATTACAGTAACTGAATACATATATCTCCTTGGTACATATCTTTCAAATTGCTACTCCAAGTATAATGCTACCTCTACCATAATTACTACTCTTTCGTTGCTCAGCTTATCATTAATTAACTGGTCTATTCAACTTTTTCTGTCCTTGCTACTTATTTAGCTTACTGGAGTGATCTTATTAAAAAGGTCCTTTACAATACTGAAATAACTTCCAAGTATCATAATACAAGACTTTATGTGATAAATGAACACTAAGATTCCTAATTGCCATGCCTTTTTGCCATCTTCTCTTTATTAACTCTGACTGATTCTGAAGGCAAAATTTCTCAAAGCTTGTGGGGCGTTACTGGACATCCCTTTTGATATTAAAATATTTTCAAAGGATTGTGGAGATTCATCATCATCTGACGTACCTTTTGATAATCATAACCTGGTTTTACAGCCTCATCAACCCGTGACTCCTTCCAAAATTCATGATGAATTTGCAGAGGGATCAGTTTCTGCTACCGCCCTTACTCCTATCAGGTAGCATCCTGATCTCAGTAAGTTGGCAGTCTTTACTAGGTCCATGGTGATCAACACTTTCACATATAGTCTTATTGCATTTGAAGTACACAAATATTTCATGTGAGTAAATGGCCCATAACTAAATGGATGGTTTATACCCTCATGTTTTGCAGAAGCAGTGGGACATACCAATCCTTGTTCACCATTTATATTTCAAAACTGAGTCTTTATGTTTGCTATTATATACTGCAAAACGAATCTGAATATGGAGTTTTATGTTACTGCAGCAGCTGTAGGAATGATGGAGAGAAAAGCATAGAGATTAATGCCAATCAAAGTGATGGTTATATAAATCCATTAGTTTCACCTGCAACTCTTCCCAGTTCAACACGCATCAATAAATCTGTTCGTTTCGAAGTTGACTCGTATCCTTCAGTTTCGGCAAAGGCATTTTCATCCAAATTTGGCCGTCTGAAATCCCATTTTTCACCCTTCCCTACCCCCTTGAAACTGACAGATGACATGCAAACTCCTGGCACTATATTCCCAGCACGCGCTAACAGTATGGCAAATGGAAAAGTTTCTAATGTCAGGTACCAATATGTGGTTTCTACCAGAAACCTGGCAGATAAAGAATCTCAAATGAAGGAATTGGTGGATAATGGGTCTACGTCCAATGAAAACTCTACTTCAATGGAAATAAACCTTAACTCAGGGATCGACAGAGAAATCACCACATCAAAGAAGGAATTGAAGTTGGAAACAAGTCAGCCTTCTTGGCAGAAACCACCTTTTAACCAAGAAGATAATAACGATTTACATTCAGGTGGAATCGTTCGTCTTAGCGGAACTCCAGGCGATGGGAGTCCTATACTTGGGATGGTTTCTTCTGCTCACTGGTATGATAATGACACTTCAAACGTCTCACCTGAGTGGCAGGGCATAAATGGAATTCCAAATACGACTACCAAGTACAACGAGGTTTGACTTGCTTCTTTATTTTGGATTGTTATGACCTTTTTGCCTTGTCTAAAAAATTAAGGGCTGATGTTGCAGGATCAGAAAATTACTTGGCATTCAACGCCTTTTGAGGAGAGATTAGAGAAGGCACTATATGATGAAACGCTTGTGTTACGGAGGTATGTTGCAGCATTCGCATCTGATATCTTTTGTTTTCGTCCTTAGGTCTGTTCGGATGCAGGGCATAAATCTAATTATGTACGGAGTATTTAATTTAAAAAGGAATAAAAGGTGATTGAGACTATACGATCAGGTTAATATTTTAATTTGAAATGCATACTAATACATAGATTATGTTTGACACAATTAGCTGAAAAGATCTTTTAGTGAACTTTTTAGTAACTGATAGCTTTTAGTGACTGAAAAGATTTTAAAAGTAAAAGGTGGTAGCTGTTTGGTAAAAAGCTGACTGTTTGATTTAGTTCTGTTTGGTATACAAGCTATTAGGATTAATTAAAGCTAACAGTCACAGGCTTTTCTCAGATGCTATTACCTGTAACATCTCAAAAAAGATCTTTTATTTTTTGAAAAGCTCTTAAAATTCGGCATGCCAAACAAACAACTAGCAGTTTTTAGAGACTTTTTAAATAGTACAAAAGCCAGAAGTTAGAGACTTATGTCCGCCAAACATAGCCATAGACTAAGCCTCCATCCAGATCAGTCATCTAGTGAGTGACATAAGATAGGTAGTGCATGCACACAAAACATTTGGTCATGACTTCACAATACTGGTTTTGCAATGGAACGTGACTATATGAACTAGCTCTAACTCGTAATGGTCTCATGCTAATTTTCGTGTCAGTGGAAACACAATTAACTTCCATGCCAACATAGGATGAATTAAATACGGAGTATAAGTATTGGCGTGTAGGTGACGAGTGTCAATCGAAAGAAATTCGGCATTCCATATTCTAACTTTAGTTGAGAACAAAAGGGAATCAGCGATATCTGAACTGTTTGTAGCTCTTTGATCAGTTTGTGACCCACTTTGTTACAACTGAAATAAGAAAGAGTACTATGGACCTGTTTATTGCAGGAAGCAATTAAGTGGTGGTGGTGGACAACCAATCAGTTTAAGTGAGAACGAAGGTTCATGACCGGCCTTCTGGAAAGCTGGCTTCAACTGTTTTCAACTCAGGTTGGGGTTTTCCCTCCCTTCCAATTCCGTTTGAAATACAGCAAGAGAAAATGCATATTTCTTTTCGCAGTAGCTCTTTGATACGCCCGCCTTCTCCAGTGGCAGAGCCCAACCATCTTGTCAGTCCAGATTATATCAATTTCTATCAATCTTGTATAAATTGTAATCATGGTTGAAGATGTTCACTTTTATCTCGATCAACTAGTTTCTTAGATGCGTTTCTTAGATAAGCGTTGCGCAATTGAATAAATGTTCAATCATTTTCTTTTGAAATATGTACACCAGATGTGGATTTGATATGATAACTTTTACTCCCTCCGTCCCACTAACAATGAGACAAGAGAGCGTGACACATAAACTAATAAAAAGTATTACCTCCGTCCCATTTATATTGTCCCGGAAGAGGGTGACACGGTTATTAAGAAAAATGAGTTTGTGTGGTTGATATCAATTGATAAAGTAAGAATAAAGTAAGAATGATTTAGAACCACACAAACTTTGCCAAATATGGTATGAGACAATTTAAGTAGGACTTCTCGAAAAGGTAAAACGAGACAATATAAATGGGACGGAGGGAGTAGTTTATGTGGTTGATACTAAATTGATTAAGTAAGAATGATTTAGAGTTTTTAATATTTCCTCATCATGAAAGAGGACCCAAAATAAAATAAAAAATGCAAATGCACCCACGGGCTAGCCTCTATTTTCCTAATTTTATAAGAAAAAGAATCATTAACACTGTGATAAATATATATCTAGTACATGTCTAAATATTGTTGGCTTGCATTCGATCTAATATAATACCTTCACATGATAATATATGAGATACGAATGAGTGGTACATTAGAAATGTGCTCAAGAGTTGAACAATCCTTATAGTAACGGTGAAATTGATTGAATTGACTAATACTTTTAAATTTTATGAAATAATGATGAAATTGTCTAAATGTGCCGAATTATAAAAGCATATACTTTACCAAAATAGCTAAAATAGACCTTTTCTTCAAATTCAGAAAAAAAAAAATAACAGTAATCTTATGTTTAAAAAAAGCCAATTTAGCATATATTTCATAAAAAAGAATGCATGTTTTATAAAAAGTTACCGAAGCATTTGGTTAATGGCATAAATCTACATTACTCATAATATTTACATTACTCACAACAGTTTTAGAAATGATGGTTTAATACTGCGATCCGTGCGTCTATTTAATAGGTAGTAATAAAATATAGTAAATAGATAATATTTTAATATAGAAAATAACTTTAAATAATACAAACTATCTTCCATTAATTAAAATTTAAAAATAATACGTATTTTGGAAATAACTTGTAATAATACAAACTATTTAAATATAGTAAAAAATGTTATAGAACATTTTTTTCATAAAAAATTTAGTCTTTAGTTCACCAAAAAGCTAATATTATAATATCAAATAAGTGGTGTATTTATGAATGTCATTTACTTGATGGTTTGGCAAAGTTTTCGATGTCTTAAATGACTAGATTTCTTGTTAAGAAGTGACTCCATTTTATTTCTGTTTTACATTCAAATAGTTGGTATCAGTAGAAATCATTTTCAAATTATGTATTAGTATTATTATTGGTTGATGAGTGATAGTTGCTATTATCTAAAGTTATTTTTTTCAAGAGGAAGTAAATGTTGATGTGACAATAATAATGTTTCATATATTCAAACTGTATAATATCCTGACGCCATATGTAATGTCGATGCTATCACATAAATGAAATAAAGGACAAACATTAAATACATCCTCGTACTTTTACGAAAAAAATAATTGGGTCCTACTATTCTTTGGATCGATCAAGTCCATCAACTTAGAAAAATTGACCAGATCTATAATTTGAGCGGTAAACAGACGGTCATTCTTTTATTGGTCCATGTAGAAGTCCATTTGTTTTTGTATTACTTTATTTTTTATTTTTTTTGTTATTTCCTTTTTTCTCTTTCTTGTTCTTTCTCCCTGTCAATAGTCTCCTTTCCCTCTTTTTCCATGACTTCCATTTTTTCTCTTTCTTTCTTGTTTCCCATTAGGGAAAAGGGTCAGATAGGCCCTCGAACTTACATAAAAGATCAAGTAAGCCCTTATATAGGAAGCTCTGTCCGGCCGTCGCCATTTGGCCTGGGGCGGTTCCCGGTTCCTGGTGGAATTTTTTGATGAAATTTTTTGAGCATCTTATTCATTAAGTCTAGTTTACTCATACCAAATTTCAGCTAAAATTTCAATCAGGAAGATATTCAAATGAATTCTTGAAGATGTGAAGTGCTGACTTCGGCTGGAGCGACAGGTGCAGCCAACAACTTGGTAAGTAGGCAACGAAAGGTGCAGCCAGAGACCTGGTAGGCAGACGACGACAGGTGCAACCAGAGATGTGGTAGGTAGGAGGCGATGGGATGGCGACGACGAGGACTAGTGGCCAGCAACGGGAAGGATCTCTGACTTAAGATTCCATGAACAAAGAAGGGAATAATGAGTTGAGCTGCGCGCGGAGATGGAGTCTTGAACGGCAAGACTATGAAAGATGAACAAAGAAGGGAATAAAGAGTTGAGCTGCGCGCGGAGATGGAGTCCTGAAGGGCAAGACTATGAAAGCTGATAATCCATATGTTAGGGTTTGTAGTAAGAAGGGAATGAGTTGAGCTGATGTAAACCGAAACGGGAGGGTACTGGGGAAAAACGCAAGTGTTGAAATATTACAATTCGCAGGCCGGCCCATTAGTAGAAAAGTTTTAATACTCCGTAAAAAGTGTCTTATAAGATGTTAATGTATTTGTGTTACATAATAGTGACACTTTTGTGTTACTAGTAGCATCATTTCAGAAAGTGTCACTATAAAAATGTCACTGTAAGCCAGTATTCTACTAGTGAAATGAACTGAAAAGGGCTTAAATGTGCACGAATATACTATCCTCCGTCTCTTTTTAATCGCAACATGTTGAATTTTACACTATTCACATGTTCTACTTTGACTACATTTTATATTAATATTTTATGAATTTTTTTTTTTAAATTATATTGTTCAATTCATCTCATTACAAATTTTCAAAATCTAATTTTTTTAAATGTTTTACTAATAGGGATTAAAATATAATTACGGTCAAAGATGTGCATTGACAAATGTGAAATGTTGACCGTTGCAACTAAAAAAGAACGGAGGAAGTAGCTAATAGATTAGCTTAGGAAAGTGCAACAAGAAAGCTACTTCACCTGTACAGTGGTATAATAACAACATAATAAACTGATTAATTTGACTAAACCAGAATATTAAAGACAAGTAAAAAAGTTAGTCATACACCATTTATGCAGTTTAGAGTGCATATATGTGTTCCAATGTGTATAAAACTTCGTAAACATGTTCTTTTTTTATTAGTTTTAACTTAAGAACCCTTCTATGAATACGTCTACCATGAACACAAATTAATTCTTTTGCCATATTATGTATAGCCAATTTCATATTGTGCTTTAGTATGGTGCAAAGATACAGTTATTGAGTATCCATTTGATTCTTCATCACACAGTCACCTATATTTTAGTGGATAAATGTTATTACACAAAGTCTAGGATAAAGATGCAATGAATATGTTTCAAGTTGGAGCTCGAAGGCATTTGTGATTCAACTCAAATCCTCGGACAATTTTCCCGAACTTGGTATGTTAAATGAACTAATTTCAGGGAGGGGGACAAACAGAGAGTATTATTACAAACTTGGTATTATTCTTATCCCTTTATATATTGCAAGTTATCTATCTGACAGGGTTTGCTTGAAGCTAGGCAATCGACCAGCTTATTTTCTGGCTAATATTCATGCGGCCCAAATTAAATTTTAAACTGGACCGATGAAAATTCTTTACCTATTTAGGTAAAAATTGCAATGAACCAGGATTTTTTTAATATTCCCTCATTTCGAATTTTCGAGGTTTATGATTTCTTTGGTCATTTCGATATATTTTTTAAATTGGTCGGTCCTTCTTTTATTGTCATTAATTTGTCATTGTATTTTAAAAAGTTATGTCTTCTTTGAAGAGGTATTGGTCTAGCTCTCCTCTCTATCTTTGTACTTTCATTTTATTTTTAATAAAATTTGGCAAATATTTCCCGACATTTGCCCCATCAGCGGATGGTTTGCCTACCAGGACAAAATAAATAGTCACTATAGTGTAGTGTTGAACATAATCATGACCACTAAAGTTATTATCATAACCACTAAAATATAAAATCACATTTTTATATTCCGTATATCACATCTATTTTGATCATATGTTTCAATGTTTGTCAATATTTCTGCCTTAATTAATCCTTCGTGATTCCTGAAGTTGTGGTCAAAGTGCTCTACATTTCTTGAATTACTCCGGCCACAAAATTCCAAAACTTAATAACTAGCCTTTCTTCATCCTATAACTGACCCAAGCTAAAATTAAACTGTTTTGGGCGAAGTTAATTAAAATAACTAGATTAGTTTGTCAAAAAAAAAAGATTAGTTACATAATTAGTTCATGCATGTTGAAATTAAACTCTTTTGGGCGAAATGCCCGTAATTTCATCCTTTGACATTTTGACGCTAAAAATACTTAAACAAATATATAAAACGAACCACACATATTCTGAGATGCGAAACTTTCAAAAAGTTCAAAAAAAGTTTAAAAACTTTGATTTTTTAAAAAGACTTTACAATACTCTATTATAAAACTTCAAAAATATTCAAAATTCCACCTAAGCGACAAATAACCTAAAATCTATGAGTGTTATTAGAATCTTGTTATATAATCTTAAAATTTCAAACATTTAGTAAATACTTACTAATTAAATTGAAAGCTCTGTTTTTTAAAGTCAATATGATATAAATTCTATACTTTTTCTTTATAATTATATCATTACTTAGATGATTTCATGTCGATTTTCAAAATTTTGAAAAGTTTGTATGGAAATTTCTTACATTGGCGCTTATGAATTATAAGTTCAAAGTTTTTTTACTGTAGCTCAAAGTTAGCTAATACTTTTTTCCTATAATCATGTTTTCGTAGTGAGTTATAAATAACATTATATTGAAAAATAAATAACTTAAAAAATTCACCTATTTCTTAAAACATATACTGTTGTTTTCCAAAACACTATACGGAGTATAACGTTGTTGGATTGTTTGGGATACTTTCGATATATTTTTTCTTTTCATTTTTGACAATACTTATAAATTTTTGAAAAAAAATAAAATTTAATTTTAATTTATTATAAATTTTCAAAATATATATTCTCTGAACATTGCGAGATTTTTGCGGATTTATAATTTTGTGAAAACGATGAAATATGACTAATTTTGGGGTGTTAAATGTTCTTTTAATCACAC